AGACATTATAATCTAATGTGGAACTAGGAAGCAAGGAACCTACCTCCTTCGTAGGAACATCACGCCGGTAGAACATCACCCCCATCAGCACCCTACCACGGAAAACAATGGTCTTTGGCACAGACTCTTTGTCAGTTCTTGCTCAGTGTCCCTCTGTCATTCTCCCATTTCTCCCTTCACCTGCGAGGTCAAGTACCTCCTCTGTGCCACACACACTGGAGGACATTCTCACATGTGAGGAGAGACTCAGAATAAACATCCAGTTGCTGGTACAGTAGGATGAAAGCTAAAGTGTGTGTCATCTCGGGCTGCCATGGAAACACAAAGCACCCAGCTCAGCCTCGGGAGCCCGGGAGGGTGTTCCGGGGAGGACACTTTAGCAGAATCCTGAGGTTTAGGAGGTGGTCAGCAAGGAAGCGTTGGGCTTGGCATTTCAGATGGAGGAGCCAAGATGCCCAGGCTCTGAGAGCGTGAGGCGCCCCGGGGGAGCTGGGCTGTGCCACGGCTGCAGATTGGTGGTTCTTGGGCGTGGGAGGAGACATGACCCACACAGTAACTTGGTGACCGCCACATGCTAGATGGGGTGTTTGCATTTTCATGCGATGAGCTCTACCTAAGTCAGGTGATCCAAAGTGGGAGTTTCAGGCTGCTTGGGGAAGAGAGGTTTTATTTATTGACTGACTTCTTCACCCACAGAACCCTTTAAATATTTATATACTCTTTGTGCCAGAATATTCTTCCTGTGTTCCCATTGCAGATGGGTTCTTCTTTTTAGAACTTGATTATCTTACATTGGTATAGCATTGTAACTTGGGTTATGTGTCATCTTGATTTTTGTGAGAGTTCGAGAGAAAGGCTTCGTCTTTGTTTTCTGTTCTCATGCTGGTCACTTCTGTACCCCCTCCTCTCTGGCTAGTGGTTTTCCAGCATTCTGTCTGGCTTTCAGCCCCCACGAAACCTTTACCATCCTGTTGCTCTTTTCCTGGATTTCTAAGCACCCTTCATGTTGGTAAGGTACACTACCATCCAGTGTTGCTGAGATTTCATTTCTGTGTCAGGCATGGCCTTCACAGTACATTTAGAGGTTCCTTAACATTCAAGACCAAGGTGTGTGTTTGTTGCTGAGCTTCTGTGTTCGTTGAGGTGAGGATTCCATAATTGTTCCTGTCGGTGATTGGTTCTTGTCAAGTAATAAATAAAATTCTCATTACTGTTTCTGGATTCAACAGGAAAGGCCGTACAGAAAAAAAACTGATGTTCAGCCTCTCTGTAATGTAACATTTTTTCAGGTTTATCAAAGTATAATTTACAAAATTGTAAGATATTGTAATACAATATTGTATATCATCTGTAATTTCATGTTTTCATGATAACTCCCTAAAAGTTTTTCCAGACACCATAATTAATAAATGCAAAGAAGTCAGAGATGAAGTCCTCCTCTAGATTAGGCAGGTTAAAAAAAGAAAAAAAAGGAAGTAAAATGATGTTGAATTTGAGCAAGATTGCTATTGATAGGTTCTTTTTTTTTTTAAAGATTTTATTCATTTATTTGAGAGAGAATGAGAGATAGCACGAGAGGGAAGAGGGTTAGAGGGAGAAGCAGACTCCCTCTGCTGAGCAGGGAGCCCAATGTGGGACTCGATCCCTGGACTCCAGGATCATGACCTGAGCCGAAGGGAGTCGCTTAACCAACTGAGCCACCCAGGCGCCCACTATTGATAGATTCTAATGGTTCCTAATTGCATAGATATTTTATGCCATACTGCGTCTTCACTTAATAAATTGCTTCAAGTATAAACAACTGGTATTAAATTGCGAAGTAGGGCCACTGAACTGGTTCGTCTTCAGTCCTCTTGGGAAGTTGTTTTAGAGCTGTTCACATTTTCACTGTTCAAGTTGTTTTTTAATTACAGGAAAGAATGAATAGATAAAATAAACATGCAACCAAGTGGTTATGGAAACCTCTTATTTTCTTTTTCTGAATAATGGAAACTCCTTCCTTGAACAGGAACTTGAATGTCTTATTCTCGTTTATTACTGCATATTCTTGCTGACATAAATGTTTGCAGAGACCTTCTATGGATGATGACTTGGGTGAAATTTGGGAACAAGGACATTCTTCCGCTCATATAGTCTGTTGGAATTTGTTTGGATCCTGCAGTTGTGGGTAGAATCTGTTCTTAGTGGGTGGGGATTCCTTAAGAGAATTTTAAAGTTCTCCTTCAGTATATTTGATAGATTTTGTTCCGTGGTTGCATCCTTTCCCGTGTCTTTTCGGTCTTAGAAATGATGACTGTTATCTTCTAAGAGGATGATGACCCTGTCAGCGCAACGGGAAGAGGGAACGAGATGGGAACAGGAGGTGTTAGGAGCTGGGGATGTGGAGCGGACACGTGCTCCGAGCTGTGGGTGGATTTCACACACATCGGTGCAGAAAAGCCCCACGGCACCAAACTGGAACACTGGGACCCGATAAGATGAAACCCGTAAAACGAAAGGAAAGGGAGTTGATGTTTTTAAGGTTGTACATATGTACGTACGGATGGATGGATGGATTTATTGAAAGCGCGCGCATAAGTGGGGGAGGGGCAGAAGGAGAGGGAGAGAGAATCTCCAGCAGACTCCCCACTAAGCACAGGGCTCAGTCTCACGACCCTGAGATCATGACCTGAACCAAAATCAAGAGTCAGACGCTTAACCGCCTGAGCCATCCAGGTGTCCCAAGGGAATTAATCTTTTAAAGCACTTAAGAGTAGAGGAATTATTATAGCCTTTTCACATATATAACTCGTGAGGTAAGAATTTTAACTTCGTCTTAGTAAGTAAAAGTTGAGGATGAGATCATTGAACGCCGGCGGTTGTTCAGCTAGTGAATAATTGATCTAGAATGTGAGCCCCACGCCTTGCTGATTCCATGACCAATGTGTTGCTTCCTCCTTACTGCCCTCTGAACATGCATGAAATCATAGGAAGCACAGGATAAGTCACAGAAAAATGATTATTTTGCTGAAGACAAGTATACACGTCCTTTTGGGTATTCTTGATTCTGCGTTTTCTTCCAGGGTTTGTGCAGCAGTGTGTTATGAAAAATAACAAATGAAACACTTAAGACCAGCTCTTTGATTGCTCTGTGTATATGGTATTGGAGGTTTTTCCAAGACACTGAGGTTATCTTAACATTTAGCCTAAATGCTTCTGTTTTAAAGCAGCATAATTATCTGGGAAACAGCACTGCAAGTAAACAGTCTGTTTCAGGATTTCATAGTTTCACAATGCCTTCAATGTGTCTTTCAGTAAATAGTTGACTACTGGGATGCCTGGGTGGCTCAGTCAGTTAAGCGTCTGCCTTTGGCTCAGGTCATGATCCTGGGGTCCTGGGATCGAGCCCCGTGTTGGGCTCCCTGCTCATCGGGGAGTCTGCTTCTCCCCCTGCCCCTCCCCCCACTTGTGTGCACATGCACATGTGTGCTCTCTCTCTCTCTCAAACAAATAAAATATTTTAAAAAAATAGTTGGCTACTAAAATTGTGATTTAGGCTTTTTTTTTCCACCCATTTGAGAAAGAACTAAAGTTTCGGAGTGCAGAAATCATTTAAGGAAAAGGGTGATAGTTGTCAACAATATAAATCATGACATTGTGAAATTATTTATGTCTCAGTTTGGGTCAGGAGACCTATGGTAGCAAATATGCTCTCATTATGATCCTTCACCGCAATAGTAAGAGAATTCGGGGGAAAAATATGGTGTAAGCGGGAAAGATAGCTGTACCATTTCTCCGAAGTTAGTTGGCATTGCTACACCGTGCAGTTTAAGTAGCGTGAACGTTTCGTTTCTTCTGCTAAGTGGTGTTCTTCTGGGGTGTGGAAAGCATGTATTTCCCCACTGGTGTCATCTTTTCCTACAGTCTATTATTAATACTGATCTAGTATTTTATTATTTATTTGCTTTTAGTGTTCCCCTTTGTCCTCCCCCCGCCCCAGCCAGTGCAGAGCCTGGGGCTAGCCGTCCTCTGGCTCTGCGGACTTCACCTCTGTGACTCCTTCCCGGTCTGGACCACCCTGCCCTTTCACTTTCACCTGTGACTCAGTGGGGAGAGGGAAGAGCCGCGGGGGGGCTTCTTTAGACTTGTGAAAGGGGACAGCGCTTTGATGACTGCAGACTCGGACAGAGGAGCCTGGCCTTACAGGTTCCTGTGTGCTTACGGGTATCCGGAACAAACTCTCCCCTACATCCACAACAGTGTCCGTGTAATTAGTGTCCCCAGGGAGTGTCCTGGGGGTCTTCATCTTGTCAGACAGGTGGATATAGTAAAGTTAATACGTGTATCTTAACGGGGAACTGTAGTTTTAACCAGTAAATGTAAATTAGAGGAATAATCTATTCTAGTTTCTAGTTTCATGTTATTTTAACTATCTGAACTTCCAGTCCAGGCCAAGACTTACCTTTCTAATTTCCTTTAGACACTTACTAAGAAATTTGTTCAAACATGCTTGAATGTCAGCAAGCCACTTGGTAACCGAAGCAAAAGTTAGTTTGGCTGCCTTGTTTACCTCAAGCAAAATCAGTCTCTTTCGGCAGCGGTGGGGGTAGGGTGAGAAGGGGTGGGGGTGTGGGTGTAGGGTAGAGGTGTGGAGAGAAGAGTAAGTGCAACCAGCAGAAGTCGGGTAGATCAGTCACCTGGATGTTGGGGGATGGGAGCGTCTGCGTTTGCATTTTCTTCCTCCTCTCTTCACCAGCCTGCACTGCGCATTGTCAGTCTGTGAAGTTAAACAGGATTTTTCACGGTTTTCATTTGCATCACAGGTAACATGTTAATGGAGCCTCTCTCTCCTGGTACAGATACGGGTTCAGGTTCCTGGGTATATTCATTGCTCTGCTGGCCCTGAGCTGCTCGAAGTGCTTTGGATACACAGTGTTCAGGAAACAGTTGAGCACTTTGATAAAGACTGATTTTATCTATCTTGAGAAAGAATTAATGTTGTTTTTTTCTTTCCTGTCTAGTTGCTGATCATCTGGGCTGTGATCCTCAAACACGGTTCTTTGTCCCTCCTAATATCAAACAGTGGATTGCCTTGCTGCAGCGGGGAAATTGCACATTTAAAGAGAAAATATCACGGGCTGCTTTCCACAATGCAGTTGCCGTAGTTATCTACAATAATAAATCCAAAGAGGAGCCCGTCACCATGACTCATCCAGGTAAACAAAACAAGGGGGGGGGCTTGTAAATTTCGTTTTTCCTTCTAGAAATTAGTGCTTTGTAGGTAAGCATTCTACCACCACTGAACCACATCATTCACAACCTAATTCTGTGATTATATTCGTTTTTTTATATTCATTTTTGGTATTACCATTTGTTTCTTGAGATGCGTCTTTTTCATTTAGTTGAATTTGTTTCTTAAATAATGACGGTAAGAGTCTGTAAAACTTGCACTTACTAAATAACTGGCTGTGACCGAATCCTGAGTCATTTTGCATTTCTACATTCCACTTAATAACTTTGAAAAATAACGTGTTCCATTGAGAATCATTCGTCTAGGTTATGGACTCTCAAGGATGACCTCTTCAAGGAGGATGCTTTTTATCTTATCAGGATAAATGTCAAATGGACTCAGTAGTAACTGTATTTCTTCATTTCTTGTGGGAGCATTTGAGGATATCTCTAATTTAAACTGCTTTAATAACAATAGTTGCAATTTATTGAGCACTTACTATAAATGCCAGGCACTGGACTATGAGGTTTTGGGGGATGGGGGTTAATAGACTTTATTCTTTACAGCAATTTTATGTTCCCAGCAAAGTTGAGTGGAAAGTACAGAGATTTCCCATATGGCCCCACACATGAAGAGCCCCCCCCACTATCAGCATCCCCCTCCAGAGTGCTACATTCGTTAGAGTTGGTGAACCTACAGCGACTTCTTATAATCACCCACGGTCCATAGTTTACTTTGGGGGTCACTACTGCTGTTGTATATTCTGTGGGTTTGGACAGATATGTACCCACTGTGACGGTATTATACAGAATATATTCACTGCCCTAAAGATCCTCAGTGCTCTGCCTGTTCATCCCTTCACCCATTTCTCCCATTTCTCCACCCCTTCGCAACCACTGTTTTTTTGTTTTTGTTTTTTTTACTGTTTCCATAGTTTTGCCTTTTCCAGAATGTCCTGTAGTTGGATTGTCTAGCTTTTGCGGCCTGGCTTCGTTCACTTAGTAATATACATTTAAGGTTTCGTCCTTGTCTTTTCATGGCTTGATAGCACATTTCTTTTGAGTGATGAATAATACTCCATTTTCTAGATATACCACAGTATATCTGTTCACCTCCTGAAGGACATCTTGGTAACTTCCAAGTTTTGGCATTTATGAATTAAGCTGCTATAAATATTCGTGTTTTTGTATGGATGTAAGTTTTCAGATCCTTTGGGTGTATGATTGCTGAGTTGTATGGTAAGAGCACGTTTCATTTATAAACTGCCAAACCATCCTCCCCAGTGGCTGTGCCATTTTGCGGGTCCGCCAGCAATAAATGAGAGTTCCTTTTGTTCCACATCATCTCCAGCATTTGCTGCTGTCCATGTTCTGGATTGTGGCCATTCGAATGAGTTGTTTTATTTTGTGTTTCCCCACTGACCTGATGTGGCGCTTTTTAATACGTGTTTTCATAGTCCTCACCACAGCCGTGCATGGTGCCCTTCTAGACCAGGAGAGCACAGCAGGAGTCAGACCAGCGGGTTTGCCAGTGGTCTCTCATCTCTCAGAGTTGAAACCTAGATAAAGTTAAGTTCTGCGTTCGTATAGCTTTTAAAGTTTAATGACATGTTTAATGAATGTTAATGACATAATCAGTTTTAGACAGTAATCTTGCAAAGGCCTCTGTACCCTAATTGAGGGTCACCTTTTGTGTCTCTTTTGACAGAATAATGAGATGGATTTAAATTTTGTTAGGTGACTTGTTTTCTTCCTTTCAAATTAAGCCTTTTAGAACAAAAACTGTATTTTTTCTAGTTGCAAAAATAACACGTGCTCACTGTAGAAAAACAAACAATAGTAATAGAATGAGTGATCTTCAGTATCCAGAGATCACTGGAGTCCTGTAGCTTTTAATTTCTTCAGGGAGACCATAAGGAGATTAAGGGACAGTCTATTTCAGCTGGTCATCTGTGTGGGAACAGTGGATTACAGACAGTGGCTTTTCTGCTCTAGGTCTCAGAGTAGGTGCTAATTTGTTCTCGGATGTTTTAGAGCGAAGAGAAACTATTTGAAATTTTGGACCTGATCTTCCCGTACTGATTTCTTCTTACTGGAAACATGAAGAAATCTGGAGAGGGAGAAATTCATCTTAGCAAAATGTATTTTTCTTTCCTGGTGGTGTTATTTTACATACATAAAACTGCAAAGAAGTAGCTAGAATGAGTCTTTTAGATATGAGAAGATCTGGGGATTATAAGAGAGGAAATTGATGTCTTTTTTTTTTTAATGATTTTTGTTTTAAAAAGGTGGGAAGCCTCTATAAATTATTGCAGATTTCCCCCCATCTGTGTTCCTTAAAACATTAATATATTCAGATCTGTTCATAGATGACCCATGGCCAAAAAAAGGTAAGTGGTAAACTAAGTTTAGGAAAATGCTTGAAATGTAGTCCACTTTCAGAGGCTCCTCAGAGACATACTGAGCTCTCTGAGAGTCTTAGGATTAAGAACTTGTTCTACATAGATTAACCTGTGGTTTCCCAAATTCATTTGACCATATAACCCTTTCATCACAGCTTAGTGTGTAACAACACAAGGGAGGAAGTTTAGGGCCAGATTTGGGGATATAGTGTTAGGAAGTGGAACCTTGGTGAGGCAATGGAATCAAAGCAGACATGAGAACAATGGCTTTATGTTTTAAGTAGACATAAAAAATCCGAGTAATCTGGGAAACTAAATTGGTATAGTACTTTGGAGAGAAATTTGGCATTATGTGATATCGTTAAAGAACTCCTACATTGTGATCCTGGAGTTTCATGCCTGTATGCATCCTCTAGAGTACTTTCCAGACTTTAGTGTGCATACAGTACAGATCACCTGGGCATTTTGTTAAAATGCAGATTCCAATTCAGCATATCTGGGGTACAGCCTGAGATTCTGTATTTTTAACAAATTCCCAGGTGATGCTAATGCCTCTAGTCCACAGCTATTGCTTTGAGAAACAAGGAAGATAGGAAACCTAGGTTTCAGTCCCTGATTTTTCCACTGACTTGCTTGGTGACATAGGACTAGTTGCCTCCTGTCTAGGAAGGCCTCTTGTGACTCTAAACCTAGGTTCTGTGGAAGGCCTTGAATCCCTGTCGTGGAGGACAACCACTGTTAGCCCTTCTTAGGAGATTTCCCACTTTCTGCCTCCAGCCATATGGGAGCCAGTGGGGAGATTTCATTTATTTACACAAGCATTTGTGGCCCCTCTGTCATCCTCTAGGCCCTTGTCCCTCTTGTGTGTGCATGGGAACACATGAAAGTATTCATGGTGGCATTGTAACAGCAAATTACTGTGAGCCCCAGCTGTCCGTCCCAGGAGAGTGGCGTGATTGTGCCATATTTATTCAGCAGTTAACTGTCAATGAATTAAAGCCACATGTGTTTACATGACCAAATCCCAAACACATAATAATGAGCATAAAAGAGTAAGTTGTAGAAGAATATGTACAAATAGCATTTGAATGAAGTTAAAAAAATGCAAAACAGTAGTTGCCATATAAGCATATATATATATATGAATAAAATAACAAAACCATGTATTAACAAATACCAAATTTGGGGATAATGGGTCTTCCTGGAAAGGGGATTTGTGGGAGGGGAATTTAGGATCAGGGAGAAGTAAATGAGGCGGTTCGGACATGTCTGTCATGTGTCACTTCTTAAGCTGAGGGTTGAGTACATAGATGTTCATTACATTCTCTCTAATTCTTGGGCTTTGAAAGATTTCAAAGTAAAAATCATAAGGAAACCTCTGTAAAGGATTAAAAAGTAAACAGAAGAGTGGCATTTCTGGGCTGTGACCAAGCAAGGAGATCACCGGATTCTCTTCTCAAAGTGACTCTAAAACTGGACAAAACTGACAAAGCAACCACTTCAGTGTTCTGGAAATCAGCCAGAGGCTGACAAAAGTCTGAGGCTCATTTATGCCTTGAACAACTGCCAGACTTTGGGGTAGGAACAATGGGAAGCTGTGGTGTTTGGCCCGGGGCTGCTTCCCACACGCCCCAAGCCGTGTCTTACGGAGTTTCTGTCGGGGCAGGGTGGGTGGCAAGGACGGAGGGCTTGCCCTGCAGTGATGGAAGGGTGGGTGACACCCGTGCCCAACACTGTTGTCTCTAGAAGTGATGTTTCAGGGACAGGAGGGTGGAGAAAGGCCAGGGTCTGTCTCTCCCAGCCCAGGACTGCAGCCAGGTGTGTTCTTGTCTGAGACCACATGCTCCATGGTGATCTCAGAGCTGAAGCTGTTTACTCCCCTGGGTGACCTTGAGACTGTGTCCATGCAGATAGGAGACAGACTGGACTTGCAGAAAGTAGCCCAGGCGGGATTGGAAGTGGCCACAACTTTGAACACTGTTCTCTCCCTACACCCAGATCCATTAGCAGATGGTATCAGCCTTACTGATCAGAGATGTGTGAGCACCCATGTCCAGTAACTGGCTGACAGCTAGTCTTGAAAGAACATTAAATAAGAAACTGAGCAGAGACACCGATGGCTGCACACAACAGAGGAAGCAGACCTCACAGGTCTAACCTGACCATGTTACTAAACAAAGCAGGCAAACAAGGTAACAGCAGCAAACTTAAGGACAAAAAATGCAGAGTTGTGACATTTTATTGTCTGAAATGTCTGGTTTTCAGCAAAAGATGATAAGCTATACAAAGAAATATGACAGTGTGACTCATACTCAGAAAAAGTCTGCAGGGGCAGGTGGCTCAGTCGGTTAAGCATCTGACTCTTGATCTCAGCTCAGGTGTTGATCTCAGGGTCGTGAGTTCGAGCCCCTCTTTGGGCTCTGCACTGGGCACTGCACTGCCTATTTAAAAAATAAATAAATAAAAGAAAAGGCGGCAGAAGCTGCTTCCGAGTATTCCCAGATGCTGAATTAAGCAGAGAAAGACCTCAGTTAATGTATGTTCAGAGAACTAAAGGAAATGATATTTAAAGAATTAAAAAGAAAAATATGACAACATGAATGGTACCAGAAGCCAACACATAGAGATTCTCAATAAAGGATAGAAAAATTATCAAAAAGAGCCACATGGAAATCATGGAATTGAAGAGTACAATACTGGAAATGAAAACCATCACTTGAGGACTTGAAGAGCGGATTCAAAACAGCAGAAGAATCCGTGTGTTTGAAGATAGAGCAATAGAAATTATCATTCTGAAGAACAAGTTTAAAAAAAAAAAAACCTGAAGAAAATGAACAGAGCCTTAAAGGCCTGTGGGACACTGTCACATCCCAGAGAAGAGGAGAGAAAGTGGCAGAAAAAATATGTCAAGAAATAATAGCCGAAACTTTCCAAATAAGATATTTTGTAGACATGGATAAGGCAATCCTAAAATCAAAGTACCTAGGATAGCCTAAAGAATTTTGAAAAAGAACAGTGTCAGAAGACTTCAGGCTACTTGATTTCAAAACTTCAGTAATCAGGGTGTTGTGACATTGGCATAAGGATGGGCACATAGACTGATGGGTCAGAATTGAGAGTCTCAAATAAATCCTTCTTTTATACTCAGTTGATTTTTGGCGAAGGTGCCATGACATTTCCGTGGGGGGAAAGACAGTCTTTTCAACAAGCGGTGCTAGAACAGTTGTTCTCCAGATGCAAAAGACAAAAAAGAACTAAGAGCCTTACCTTATGATTTGTAAGAATGACTTCACAATAGATAATAGACAAAAATGTAAGAAGTAAAACTACATAAACTTCTAGAAGAAATCATAGGAGAGACTCTTACTCATTTGGGACAGAAAGTTCTTACTCCAAAGACACTATCCTTAAAAGATAAGAACAGTGTTAGTCTTCAAAAGTAAAATACCTTGTTATTCAGAAGACACCATGAAGAAAATGAAAAGACACAAGCTGGGAGAAAATATTTCCAGCTCATAGATCTGATATATGACTGGTATATGAAGAATTCTTAAAAATCAGTAGTAATAAGACAACTTAATTTTACAATGGGCAGAGGATGTAATGACTTAATATTTCATCAATTATTAGAAAACAAAACAATGAGATATTACTTCACACTCACTAGAATGACTAAATAAAAAAAATTCAGGTATGACCATGTTTTATAGAGGATGTGGGTAAACAGAAATCCTCACGCATTGTTGGTAGGAATGTGAAATAGTACAACCAGTTTGGAAAACAGGCAGGGTTTTTTAAAGTGAGGCACATATTTACCATATGACTCAGCAGTCCTCCCAGGAATCTACCTAAGAGAAATGAAAAGAATGAAATGTCCACACAAAAACTTGTACATGAATACTCACTGCCTTATTTACAATAGTCCAAATAGTGGAAACAACACAAATGTCCATCAGTGGGCGAGTGGAAAAACAAAACATGGCATATCCACAGAATACAGTTCAGCAGTTACACGGAATTGACTACTGATACCTGTAACAACATGGATAAACCTCAAAAGCCTGATGCTCAGTGAAAGCCGGCAGTTAGAAACATCCTCTTGTGGCATGATTTCACTTATGTAGAATGTCTAGGGAAGTCACATTCATAGAGACACAAGGCAGGTTCGCAGGTGTGCGGGCTGGGGGCTGGGTATGCAGATCACCTGCCGGTGGGTACGAGAGAGCTTTTGGGAGAAATGAAAACATTCTATAACTGGCTTGTGGTGGTTGTACACCCCCTGTAAATTTACCCAAATCATTGAATTTACACTTACAGAAAGTGAATGTTATGGCATGTAAATTAACCCTTCATTAAACTGTTGTTCAAAAGTGTGATACGGAGGCACCTAACTGGATCAGTCAGTGGAGCATGTGACTCTTGATCTTGGGGTCATGAGTTTGCGCCCCACGTTGGGTGTAGAAATTACTTTTTTTTAAAAAAGTGTAAGGCAGACTAAAGTTCAGAAGCAACACAAAAATTCTTAAACTGGAAGCTTCATTTGAGTTGTATGCCCCTAAGTATTTTTACTTTGAGAGATTTACAGCAAGTATTCATGAGGTGATCTCTTGTGACTTTGGTTCTCATCTTAAGTATTCAGGGTAGAATGATGTTAAAATGTGAGCAAGAAAAATGTAAAAATAAAGACAATCGCTTTGCTTTACAATGAGTTAGAGACATGCTAAGTGCCGGTGTGTGTGAGACGGAAAGATTAACTCTCAAGTCATCACCTAAACACAGAGGTTAAATATTTTAGAGTTACGAAGTCTTTGTCTAAACCAAACTGCTCTAGGTTGGTGCGGTTTATTGTATTTAACCTGAAAAGTTACACAGATTATTTAAATGAAAGCATGGATGTATTGTTAACAAAAGCAATGGAAATAAATCCATTCATTGAAAAGATTTCTGAAATACACTTTTAATTTTTACCTTTAATTAGAGAAAAATTAAAATGCCATTTTGTTTGGGAATTTGTGGATTATGTGCAAACAGGCTCATTTTAGGGTGTGAAAGGGCCCGGTTTCTTGATATGAGAACTTTTGCTCTTTCCTCTTTGAACCCCTAAGCTATTGCTCATCATCTCCTGTTTTCCAAGCAGAATTCTGTCTTGGTTTCAGTCTGTTCTCCGTGGTGGTGCACCTGTTAACATATTCATCACCCCAGAAAATTGTCACGGAGTGTTTTGTCTGGTTCACAGATCTCTGCTTCTGTAGCAATCCCACTCTACTTTCTGCATCTTTCAGAATTATACTTAAGGGTGTGTCACTGACCTGTAATTTGCCACAGGATTCTGCATCATCTTTTTAGTTATAAAAACAAAATTAAGTCTCTGTCGGATATTCGAGCACCTCTAAAATAGTGAAAAGAGTTTGGCATTGACAGTCACAAGGCTGGAATTGGAATCCCAGACCCAGTGATGACTAGCCTTGGGACTTTAGGTGAACGAGTCTTTAAATCATTGGCTCTCATGTGAGAGCATCTGTATAATCGCCTAACAGGATGATTGTAATTTTATTGAGATAATGAATTTGTTAAGTTGTATAGTTGTTATTTATTATTCTTGTGCCTTGAATGAGCACTACCTCTTTTATAATTATGGAATCAGTGTACTTATTTCTCTAACTTTAAGCTAGTACTTATTTTTCTTTAATTTCCAAATATACTTTTTCTTTGTTCTTCTGGTCTTTTTTCCATATGACATAATTGTTTCAAATGCATTTAGTGTAAAATAGTTCATCAACTGGTATCAAATTACATTTGCTCTATGTCAAGCATTCTGTGAGAGACCCTGCAGGGATCTACAGAAGAAGTATATGCGAGCGCATGTCCTTAAGGAACATTTTACCCCAATAGGGAGACAAACATGCATGAAATAACTGGGACCCACTGAGTGCTGACTTAGCAGGGCAGGCCTCGGTATTACCGAGAACAAGTTCCTGACTCTGAAGGCTGGCAGGAACTAATCAGAGGGGGCTTTCATTGTGCCGGGCCCTGCATTGTTGGCAGGATGGGACCAGAGAAGACCCTGTCCGTGGGGGACCCACGTGAGTCAGAGACCTGCCTGGAGGGGCAGGAGTCTGAGGGTGAGGGTAGAAAATGAGGCGGGGTGGGGTGACAGCAAGCATGGGGCTTTGGGTTCCATATGCTAATTCGTGAACAGGTATTTTTTTGAGCTCCTGTCAGGTCTCCAGGTGTGAATAAGACCCACGTCCTAGCTGTGTGATAGCTGCTTTCATGGAGTTACAATCAACATTGAATCAGAAATAGAGAATTATGAAAAGACCTTATGAAGCATACCTAGTTCCACGGAGTCAGGGCTGTCCTGAGGAGATAATGTTTGAACAGGAATTCACAAGTTGAGAAGAGTCTTCTAAGCAGGAGAATCCTCAGGGGTGAAGGCTCAGAGGTGGGAAAAAGCAACGTGAAAGCCATTTTAGATACTGGGCAGGAAAGGTTGGGCTGAACGGGTGGACGGGGAGATAGTAAATTAAACTTTGAGGCCGCCTCCTCACAGCCGCTGTGTGCCCAAGGCAGGGACTAGTCATTAGTCACGGTGAGGATCTAGGGTTTTGAAAGACATGGGAGGAGTAGCCCTTGGCCAGTGAGGCCGATGCTACCTGACTCGATGGCCTCCTCAGGCACAGCGCTGTGCTAGGGGCTCTGCGGGTGCGGGGCCACCACACTGGGCAGCTGAGCAGCTGTGCTCCGCAACGGCTGCTGCTGGTAAGCAGCTAGAAAGTTGTTCCTGGCTTCTCTGCCTCCGAGTGTGGGCTCGGCAAACCCAGCAGGAAGCATTGGGTGGCCAAGCAAGCCCCACACAGTGTGGGCTCCCTCCGCCGCCCGCCAGGTGAAAAGCCTGAAAGCAGGAAGGGCCTGGGATGCTGGCCCCCTGGCTGAAGTCCAGTGGTGTCCGCATTCATGGTCAGGGAGACGCTGGTTATAAGAAGATCCTGTTTCGGGCCAGCCAAGTGACACTAGATGGAGGCCTGATAGCCTCTGGGGAATGGGGTGAGCTTAGACAGCACCGGTTCAGCACCCACATCATCTCAAGCCTCTCCAGCCCCTGTCTTTTCAGCAGAGCAATCCTCGACCTGCCGTAGCTCTCTGCTTGTACTCCAGAGAGAATCCTGCCCCAAGCGCTTGCTGTCCTGCCTCATTCCTGCGCTGCTCCTGCCCTCTCCCTCCCCAGATGCCCCTCTGTCCCTGTCGTCTGTCCACGTGAGGCTCAGGGACGCTCGCCTCAGTCACTGGATATCCCCCCCCCCGCAACCTATAACTCATAATCTCAAGGAGTGGACCCAAAGATCCGTGTCTCAGCCCTCCTCTGCTGGCCTGTCAGTTCTGCCCACCCTTCATTTTAGTCGAGAAACCTTAGATTAGCACCTCTCTGTGCTGTGCATTGCCATGTGAACTAATATGAATTGGGAAGAGTCCAAAAAAAAAAACCCCTAAGGCCTGGATACACCCTCAGTGTGTTACAGTCCTGGGTCTCGCGGTCTCCAGAGTGCCTTGTTGCCCCTCCTGGACGGTATTGCCCTTCTCCTGTTAGGCTGTTACTTGCATACTTGACTGGCAGAGGGAAAAAGGGCTGCAGGTTTCTGTATGTGGAAGCATGTGTTTTTCTGTTCTGTGCCATGGCCAGCAGAATGCCTTGAGCAAAACAAGTGTGTACCGCACTGAAATGATTTTGTGAAGATACTTAGTTCTATTGAGCTTTCCTGCCACTTAAGCACAGAGTTCATAACTGACCGAAAAATTACACGTAGTTAAGTGTAAGTATTTTGTGTTCTTGCTCTGTGAAGGATGTCCCAAGAGCTTGCCTGTGTTTGTCCTACTGAATGCCCTTCATCTGATGCCTGAAGGACGTCTCTCCCAGTGCGGTGTCCGTGACATCACTAACAGGAAAGTCAGCTCAATTTGTGGTTTTCTCCCTTACCTCTAGTTAGCAGGAGGAGTTCTTTGTAATGTAGTTAGCGGATGTGTGGTAGTATAAAAGGGAAGTTACAGGCTCTTGGATAGTTTAAAATAATGTGCATTTCTCTGAAAGTTAAGGATTTATTTTCTTGGATTTTAAAAATTTATATGGGCTTTCTGTTACTGTTTATCAGTCTTAGATTGTGTCAAACCGTTCTCAAGTTGGAAATCTCTTACAGTTTTATCTGTGGACATTCTTTCCATTGTTAGTAGAAAAATGGAATTTAGATAAAGATGCAACCAGTTAATAATGTTGCTTTTCAGTCTTGGTATCAATCCGCAGTATCAGGGGCTTCTTACTGTTCCTTTGGCTGCTTGAACAGAATTACTTGAATGGCCCTTTACCTTCTTTTTTCCATCATATTCTCTTAAAGAAAAAGAAAACCTCTGTAGCTTTATATTATCAAGCAATAAATAGATAAACATCACTTTGTACAAGATAGAAAATTCACTTTGTGAATAAAAAAATCACTTTATGAAAGCAAGTAAAGTCGTAAACATGTTGCAGAATATCTTTAAATATCAGTAATTTGGGCCACTTAGTGTCAATCTAGTATCTTTATCCTAAAAAACCCATCAAGAAAACAAATAAGAGTCACACTGTTGTTTTACTGTTTAAAAGTTTTTTTGTTCTAATTGAATATGGATTTAATTACCTCAGAAAAGATGGAGCCTACAGTTTAAATGTACTGCTGTGGCAGGAAATAAGAGTTTAAATTGTATGCATCTCTTTGCCTGATTTGCAAATATTTCTCCTATTATCTTCCATGTGATCCATACACTTTTTAGAAAATGTGGAATTATCAAAAAGAAATCTAAAACTGAAACACTTAATGGAACAGAGTAGAAAGCTCAGAAATAAACCCACAACTACATGGTCAATTAATCTTTGACAAAGCAGAGAAGAATATCCAATGGGAAAAAGACAGTCTTTTCAACAAAGAGCATTGGGAAAACTGGACAGCAACATGCAGAAGAAAGAAAGCAGACCACTTTCCTATACCACACACAAAAATAAATTCAAAATAGATAAAAAAGACCTAAATGTAATACCTACAACCATAAAAATCCTAGAAGAATATACAGGCAGTAACCTCTTTTTGACATTGGCTGTAGCAACTTTTTTCTAGATACTTCTCCTGAGGCAAGGGAAGCAAAAACAAAAATAAACTATTGGGACTTCATCAAAGTAAAAATCTTCTGCACAGAGAAGGAAACAACCAACAAAACTAAAAGGCAACCTACAGAATGGGAGAAGATACTTGTAAATCACGTATCTGATAAAGAACTAGTATCCAAAATATATAAAGAACTTACCAAACTCAATACCTGAAAAACAATCCAATTAAAAAATGGGCAGAAGACATGAACAGCCATTTCTCTAAAGAAGACATCCAGATGGCCAACAGACACATGAAAAGATGCTCAACATCACTCATCACCAGGGAAATGCAAATCAAAACCACAATATCACCTCACACCTGTCAGAATAGCTAAAGTCAGAAACACAAGAAACAACAGGTGTTGGTGAGGATGTGGAGAAAGCAGAACCCTCTTGCACTGTTGGTGGGAATGCAAACTGGTGCAGCCACTCTGGAAAACAGTGTGGAGGTTCCTCAAAAAGTTAAAAATAGAGCTACCTTATGATCCAGCAATCACATTACTGGGTATTTACCCAAAGAATACAAGAACACTAACTCAAAGAGATACATGCACCCCTATGTTTATAGCAGCCAAGATAGGGAAGCAGCCCAAGTGTCCACTGACTGGTGAATGGATAAAGAATAGTGGGGAGGGGGTGTATAATGGAATATTACTCAGCTCTCAAAAAGAATGAAATCTTGCCATTATCAATAACATGGATGAAACTAGAGAGTATACTGCTAAGGGAAGTGAGTCAGAGAAAGACAAATACCATGTGGAATTTAAGAAACAAACGAGCAAGGGTGGGTGGGGGGAAGACAAACCAAGACACAGACTATTAACTGTAGAGAACAAGGTGATGATCACCAGAGAGGAGGGAGTGGGGAAACAGGTGATGGGAATTAAAGAGGGTGCTTATGGTGAGCACTGGGTGTTGTATGGAATTCTTGAATCACGATTTTGCACACCTGAAACTAATAAACACTGTATGTTTACTGGAGTTAAAACCAAAAAATAAAATGGAAACACTTAGGCCATAGCTTCTTAAAAATAAAAATTGCTTATAAAGAATATCTGCTGATGGTTCTGTTCAGAAACCTTCCCAGAAGCTCTGACGTTTTCCTTTGTGTCTCTGAATCCTAATTGAAGTGGAAGTGAGGAGCCCATCCATCTGCCAGAGACTTGAGACAGTCTGTCCACTAGCCTTCCTGTCTCACTCTGACCTTGCACGCTCTGTCTCCTGAGTGGGCTGCTTCAAACTCCCCACTTGGTTTGCCGTTTTATCTTCCTTGTGCTTATCTTTCCCTCACCAGCAGCAGAAGGGAGGAAGAAGCCAAAGTAACGTAAAGGATCAGCAGAGGTTTAGAACACTGGCTTCGAAAGCAGGTTCATAGTTGACAGGACAGAAGACGCGGTTTGCTTGGTAGCTGTTCCAGGCCCGACGGGGAGGCCTGGTGGGGAGGCCTCACAGCTCTCCGCACTTGAGGTTTGTCAGAGCGGGGGGCCCCGGGGAGGCAGGAGAATGCTCCATCCTGCGGGAGTGTTCTCCGCCTAGGATGAGAGCTGGGCCCCCAGTCCCATGCCTGCAGAGCCCAGTGACAGCTGTCCATGTGCACAGCCATGTATAACCCGTTGCCAGAGTCTGAGGACAGGCTCTGCCCGAGAGGCCTTTTCTGCCCCACTGAGACCCAGTGTCACCTTCCGGGTCTGTGGTGCCTTTGGGGCAGGAATGCAGAGGGTCCCTTGTTGGTGGGGGGTGGACATGGGAATGGCTGAATGATGAAGGGAAGGGGACAGGCTTATGTAACTCCTGCTAGTTCCACCCTAGACCTGCTGTCCTTTCCCCCCCACCCAGGCTGACTTTTTCATCTTTTCTCCCAGTGCAGATCTGCTGAGCATGAGTTCTTGCATCACTCACCTGTCTGAAAACGTCTTTTTTCTGCCATCGCTTTTCAGGGATGTAGACACAGAGTTCTGAGCTGATGGCGCTTTCCGCACTTTAAAAAGTGTTGTTACTTTGTTTTCCAGCCTCTGTTCTTCCTGGTGAAAGATGTTCTCTTTCATATAATGTCTTTTTTTTATTGTATTTTTTTAAAATGGCGTTACAGAACAATTGCAAAGATGGTACAAAGAATGCCCCCAGGTTCCCCTGTTAACCTCTTAACGTTAGTTTGGTACCTGTGTGATAACTAGTGACCCAGTCAGCACAGGTACACTCTCATTAACCAACATCCGTGCTTTATTCAGATTTCCTTCGTTTTTACATAATGTCCGTTCTCTGTGCCAGGATCCAGCCCAGGACGGGGGGGCCCTATGTCTCCTTTATCTCTGGCTGTGACAGTTTCGTAGACTTCCCTTGTTTTTTGACAGTTTTGAGGACTCCTGGTCAGGTATTGTGTAGCATGTCCTTCAACTGGGATTTGATGTCTTTCTCGTGATTAGACTGAGGATATGGGGCATTGAGAGGAAGATCACAGGGTCCACACTGTCAACATGAATGGTCACTGTCACCTGGCTGTTTGTCGGGCTTCTCCACCGTGAAGCTCCTTGTTTCTCTCGTCCATGCGGCACTCTCTAGAAGGAGGCCACTGTGCACAGCGCACACGTAAGGAGTAGGGAGTATTACTTACTTGGAGTTACTCTGCATGAATGATTTGTTTCTTCTCCATTTCTTAATTTATTCAGTCATTTATTTATATCAGTATGGACTTGTAGGTAGTTATTTTATACTTTGTGATAGAATACAGTGCTATTTTGCTTATTTCTGTTGCTGACACTATTCCATCTTTGGCCCTTGGGAGCACTTTCACTTGGCTCCGGGTCCTTAGACATGCCCTCATTACCATTGGTATTGGGTTTTTTTATCTGTTTTGTTTTTGAGCACTTTCTTCCTTTCTGGTGCTCTGAGGTGCTCTAGGCTTATCTTGTCTGACTTCCTGTCCCAGCCCGAGAATCGGCTGTTTTCTCCCAGGGACCCTGGTTTCCATTGATTGGAGAAGGGCATTAGAAACCAAGCTCCAGGCATTAAATGTGCTCATTTCTGTTGTGGTTTTGTTGCGTCTGGGCCCTCTCAGCTGACAGAGCAAGGGAATATGCGTATGTATACCAACCCTTGTATGTACACGTATCCATAAATACTTCTGTACGTAACCTTCCATATCTGTATTGAGCTAAGAATGAGTCCATACCCATGTCTCCAGCTCTAATCCATGACCACATGGATCATTCTAGCCTCCTCCGCACTTGCCTGTAAACTCCCACTCCAACTGTGAGAAACCTGGCTCCCACCACCCACCATCCATTTTCTTGTTGAGTTCACTGAGCTCTCTCAAACTTATAGATTCTTAAATAACAGGTCTGCAGACTTTTAGAGTGGTGGTACTTGGTACATATCTTCTCTGGGTGGAATGCCTCACCCAGTACTTAACCTTTCTCTCTCCTCCCATTTAAAATGCTTCTATCAAGAATTTGTAAGAAAAGTCTTCCTCTCTGGGCTCAGACCTAGTTGGCGGCAACATGGCTAAATACACCAAGAAGGTCGGAATCATGGGTAAATACAGGACCCGTTATGGTGCCTCCCTCAGGAAAATGGTGATGATTTGTTTAAATCATGACACTTGCTCCTTCTGTGGGAAAACCAAGATGAAAAGAAGAGCTATGGGATCTGACACTGTGGCTCCTGCATGAAAACCGTCGCTGGTGGCGCCTGGACCTACAGCACCACTTCTACTTTCACAGAAAGTCGGCCATCAGAAGACTGAAGAAGTGGAAAGACCAGTAGAAGCTTCACCATTTGAAACATTGCTAGCCTATAATAAATGGGTTGATTTATGTAACAAAAAAAAATTTTTTATAAGAAAATGTAAGTATCTTAACTTGAAAATGACATGAGGGTGCCTGGGTGGCTCAGTTGGTTAAGCGTCTGCCTTCGGCTCAGGTCATGATCCTGGAGTCCCGGGATCGAGTCTCATATCGGGCTCCCTGCTCAGCGGGGAGTCTGCTTCTCCCTCTGACCCTCTTCCCTCTCGTGCTCTCTGTCTCTCATTCTCTCTCTCAAATAACTAAATAAAATCCTTAAAAAAAAAAAATGACGTGAAACTAGGTGGATCTTGGAACACACGAAACAACAAAAAGAAGGTATTCATTAAGTTAACCTGCAAATAGGTTCAAAAAATTAGTAACAAGAGTTTGCGGAGACTGGGGTTAAGTAACAGGTCCAGCAGAGGACCCCTGGGAACCTCCTACCCTGTAATCCCTACATTCCCTAACATGTGCCATGGCTCCCAGAAAGTATACTGAAAGCTTGGACAGTATCCGTGGGAACGTAATATTCAGATATAAGAAGAGGTTAGCCTCATACTGCTCTTGATAATGGATGTGTTGTATTCATTTTTAGCATTTTACTTATTTATTTTTATTTATTTTTTTTAGATTTTATTGACAGGGAGAGAGGGAACACAAGCAGGGGGAGTGGGAGAGGGAGAAGCAGGCTTCCCGCCGAGCAGGGAGCCCGATGTGGGGCTCGATCCCAGGACTCTGGGATCATGACCTGAGCTGAAGGCAGACGCTTAATGAGCCACCCAGGCGCCCCCACATTTTATTTTAATAAAGACATTGAAAAACAAGTGAACAGATGGAAAAGATCTGTGAACAGTGTTTTACCATTTGGAATTTGAGCATGAAAATGAATAATGATAGTAATGATTTTATTAGCCCATTAAATAATATAGGAACATGAGTTCATATGAATCTTTTTTTTAGATAATATTTTATTTAAGAGAGAGAGAGAGAGAAAGAGCGAGCACATGAGCAGAGGGGAGGGGCAAAGGGAGAGGCAGAAGCAGAGAGCCTGATTCAGGGCCCTGGGATCATGACCTGAGCTGAAGGCAGACGCTCAACTCACTGAGCCACCCAGGTGCCCCGAGTTCATACTAATCTAAAAAGTAAAGGTGTATTGGGGGGTGGGGGGATGGGTTAGCCTGGTGATGGGTATTAAAGAGGGCACATTCTGCGTGGAGCACTGGGTGTTATGCACAATGAATCATGGAACATTACATCAAAAACTAATGATGTATGGTGATTAACATAACAATAAAAAAGTAAAAGTGTATTGAAATCTTGATGAGGAGTGGAGTATTTACGGAGTCTCAAAGTACCTCCGCACAGAATACTTAGGAATTACAAAGAGGGGAAAGAGTGACTTCGCAGTGAAAATGCCTGGAGAGCTTCCCTTTGGCAAACCACTTGATCGGGGTGAACTTGCGCTGAATTGGGCTGTGTCCTCTCTGTACACCACCTGCTAGCGCACTCCGAAGAGAGCACAGCCTCACTTCTGGTGTTGCTGCCAGGAGCGCGTGACCTGAGTCTAGCCCCGCAGAGACACCGGATCCGTCCAGACGGAGGGGCTGTATGGCATCTTCCCAAGTGTCGAGGTTGGGGACATCAGGGGCTGTCTAGAGACTGTTCCAGACTGACAGAGAGCCACGAGATGTGACGGCTGAAAGCAGTGCATGCGGCTCTGATCCCGATCTGCTCTAGGACGTTGTTGGGAAACTGGGGACGCCTGAATGGACTCTGAGATTAGGCAGCAGTAATGCATCAGCGCGCACTTCCCAGTTTGAGTGGTTGTGCTCTGTTTATAAATGGTTTTTGTTTGTAGAAGACACACTGAATGTTTGGAGGGGATGACATGTCGTGCCAGTAACTTCCTCTTGAATGGTTTGGGAGAAAAGAGGTTTTTATACATACTTCCAGCTTTTCTGTGTTAGAGTCTTGGAAAAATGTTTGTAAATGAATAATCTGGGGCTCTAGGAGGAGTTAGTGTGGAGAAAAGCCCAAGGTGGAGTCCCAGAGAAGAGGTCTTGGGCTATCCGAATGAGGGACTGCTGCATGGGAGAGGAATTTCCCTCCATTCTGGGATGTTCAGCTTGAGGGTGGGGTGTTTGTTGTATTTGGTGGCATCTTACGGTTTATTGGCAGGATTTTTCCTTCTTGATATAAAACAGTAATGATGCACCTGACAGCTGATGGTATTTTACACCATTGATACGTGAAATACAGTTTATTTGCTTGGTGGTGCTTCTCGGGTGAAGAGAACCAAGAGCCATGAATGGGCATTTAGGAATTAAGATTTTAATTATAAGGAAGACCTCTCTAATACTTAAAACTGCCTGTGGATAGAGCTAGCTACCTCAGCCGGTCAGGAAGTTATTTGTATTGTGTGAAGATGACCCCTAAGAACTCTCTTAACTAAAAGATTCTCTGACCTCTGCTGACTGGTGATTGTCTCCCCCCACTTAACCCCCTCCCTTCGTTTCTGCCTCTAGATTTTTGAAGAAAGTGGCTTTCTCTTTTGTGTGGGTCTTTGCTCCTGCTGTCTTTTCTTTTTTGACGTGGAAAAAACAGATATGATGAGTGCCTACACTCAGGAGATGGTATGAGAACAGAAACTGACATTGGAGCACTGGGTATTGAGCCCCTCTGCTCTACTTGGTCTGAGACTGAAGGAACGAGGGTTTAGTAGACCCTGGTTTGGAGGGTCTACTCCACGAGGGTGGAGTGTCGTCTGGAATTAATCGAGTGACTTTGGAGTCCCTCGGTGGCTCACCGTTGAGCTCCTGAATGTCAGCCTCATGGCCAGAGAGCCAGGTTCAAGCTAATCAGCGTTGTGCAACCGTGGGCACCACCCAGATGTCGTGGTGCCGGTGTTTTCTTGGTTCAGCGACGGAACTTGACCCTTCACTCTTGTGCTCCACGCACTCGCTTCCCCACGCTCCTCAGAGGCCTTGACTCCTGGCTGGCTTACCCACACCGTCGTCCCTGCCAGCCTCCGCGTCCACGGGGAAAGTGCACACCTGACCTAAAACCCATCCTCAGTGTCTCCCAGGATTGGTGCATCGCTGGTCTCGAGTCTGGTGTCCTGTTCTCTGCCTGTTGCTTGTTCCCTTTCTCTCCTCTCCTTTCCTCCTGACCTTTGGTTTTGCTGAAGCTTCCTGGTCCTTGAGCCCTCGCTCCATTTTCTTCCAGTTCTCCGGGCGTGATGCCTCCATTCTGCTTGGACTGTGTAAGCCACCGTTTCAGTCACCGTTACCAGCAGCATCATTTGGGTACTGGAGTGTCTGCTGTCACACACCGTTAGGTCCATTTGGCTCCCAAAATGCTTTGAATGTCAGGTTAAGGAGTTTGAACTTTATTTAGTTGACATAAGGGATAAAGGCTTTTTCTTTTTTTTTCTTTTTTTTTTTTTTTGTTGAAGTATGGTTGACACACAGTGTGATCTGAGTTTTGGGTGTACGACATAGGGGTCCGGCGATTCTGTACACAGCTCGGTGCTCACCACAAGGGTGGTCGTCATCTGTCCCCGCACGGAGTCCATATGATACTCCCAGCTGTATTCCCTGCACTGCACTTCTCATCTCTGTGACTCATCTCACCACCGCGAGCTTGTACCTCTCAATCCCTTTCAGCTACCTCGCCCATCCCCCATCCCCTCTCTTTAAGAGTCTGGTTTTTGTTGGTTGCTCATTTGTTTTATTTTTTAGGTTCCACATACGAGTGAAATCATACGGCATTTGTCTTTCTCAGTCTGACTTCTTTCACTTACCCTCTGGGTCCATCCGTGTTGCAGTAAATATCAGAGGATTTGGACAGAGTGACGTGATAAATCGGGCTTTAGAAAAACACTGGCAGATCTCAGCAGGATGTCTGTAATTGATATAACCTGTCATCTGCATCTGTAGATCTATAGAACTAAAGCTGTATTCATTTCCTAAAAGAACGTAGCATATCTTTTTTTTTCCTCCCCCTTGAGTTCTTTTAAAGGGTGTCAAGGCAGAGAAGAATGAGGACTGGGTTTGAGGAAGTGCGAGTGTTACAGATAAACATCTGAGAAGGACCCAGGTCCGTGGAAGGGACAGTGAGGAGAGGGCCTCAGGCCATTTGCGAGCAGACTCCCTGAGGCACAGGCATGGCGGGCGCCCCTGATCTGTGCAGCTTGATGAGAGAGTTACAGAAGCTCCCTGGGGTTCGCCCACCTGTTCCATGCTGGAAGCCAGCAAGACTCCGGCGTCTGGAGCACAAATCCCCGTGAAAGCCAGGAGGGCTCTGTTGGTCAGCAGGTGCGTGCGGTGGGGAGGAATGAATGAGTGAGGGGGAGTTCCAGAATTCAGTCAGAACCGTTCTGTATCAGAGTTCAGTTTCTTGAAGGTGATAAACGAATCGTGTCCTTGTTCTTAGGGAGAGTGCTGAAGTATTAAAGGAGGAAATGTCATGATTTGAAACTATCCTGGGGTTTGAAAATTCTCCAAGGGAGAAGGAATTTTTTTTTTTTAAAGGCAGGGGTGGGGGCTGGGGGTGGGGGAGAGAGAATAGAATTGTTTTAATAAAGTAGCCAAACTCAAGCAGTGGAAACATAGATTCACATTAAAGAACAGAAGTGGAGAAGGTTTTAAGAAAATAGGTGAAAGCAGGGATCGCACTGATTTTTACTGATTTGTCATCTCTGATAAATTAATCCTGGCTGCTGGGCATGTTGAAATGCATGGGATTCTGAGGCCGTATCAGTGATTTATTAGCAGTGTTGGCCAAGGGCTTAGGATTAGGGTAAGTGGTGGTGCATGTGCCAAATATTTGTCATCTCTCCTTGAGTGTTTACATCATTATAGTCTAATAAGTCTTTAACTCTTATCAGTCACTACTTGACCTAACCCGACTTTTATCCTGAAGCTTACACCTTCTCTGGCCTTTACTACCCACCTGGAAGCTGGGCCAGGGCTTCTCAGATCTTTAAAAGTCAAGCGCAGAGGCATCCTTCAATCAGGGTCTTTGAGCCCAGATCAGCTTTAGGGGTTGGGAGTGAGGAGATCCATGAACCTCTCCAGAAATTAGCAGAATGGGGGCTTTTCTTGTAGGAGGGGTCGCCTGTCCTCAGATTCTCTAAGTGATTGACAGGCAGGAATGCTTAAGAACCTAGTGGCTTGACTAGTATTCTTCTTCACTTTGCTTGAGGAGCAGTGTCTTAGTCTCCTTCCCTGTCCTGCTAACAATCTCCTCCTCTCTACTAGCCTGATGAGACTCCCTGCTTGGGCTCCTCTCTCCAGCCCCTTTAAGATTCTCCTTTGCTCAGGACACCTGGCTGGCTCAGTCCATTAAGCATCCAACTCTTGGTCTCAGCTCAGGTTATGATCTCAGGGTTGTGAGTTCAAGCCCCACATTGGGCTCCGTGCTGGGCGTGGAGCCTACTTTAAAAGGGGAAAAAAAAAAAAAAGATTCTCCTTTGGTCTTTTTTTTTTTTAATAGGTATAACCTTTTACTTATCCATTACTTTGTTTAGCCTTTTTTTTTTTAATTGTAGTTGGATTCTCCTTTGCTCTTTGAGGATAAATGAAGTTTTCACATAATCAAGAACAGGTATAAAGGAAAAAAACCCTCTTGTGTGTGTCTCCTGTGTTATTCACGCAGAATGCTTCTGTGACAGTGTGTGGGGCTTTCCCCTATATGAAGCAGTTCTCAGCCATACCAGCTGGGTGTCCTAGAATTCAGCTGGATTCTGACCCTGTCTGCCTGGAGTTCGCATCAGATCCCACGGGTTAATGGAGCAGTCCCACAAGGCTGCCCCCTCCTCGCCCCACTTCAAAGCCAACCAAAAGTCCCAGTACTTCTGACCAGCCGGCTATAAATCAGGGTTCCCACAACCCCCTCATGGTGTTCAAGACTTTGTTAGAATGGCTCATAGAACTCAAGGAAACACATTTCCTGGTTTAATATAAGGAATATAGTAAAAGATACAGATGAATGGCCAGCTGAAGATGCATGGGGCAAGGTATGTGGGAAGGGGCCTTCTGGCTTGCCACCCTCCCAGCCCCTGCACGTGTTCATCAACCCAGAAGTTCTCCAAACCCCACGCTTTGGGGGTTTTTATGGAGAATTCATCACATAGGCATGATCGGTCATTAACTCAGTCTCCAGCTCCTCTCCCCTCCACAGAGGATGGAGGGCATGGGCTGAAAGTTCCAGGCTTCTCCTCATGGCCCACTGAGAGTCATCTCATTAGAACCAAAGACTTCTGTCACCCAGGAAGTTCCAAAGAATTTAGGAGCTCCATGTCAGGATCCAAGACCAGATAACAGAAAAAAAGATGCTCCTAATGCTCATCACTTAGGAAATTGCCAAGGGTTTTAGGAGCTCTGTGCCAGGAACCCGGGTAGACCAATATATCTGTTTTCTCTTATTTCACAGCAGGTAAATTTTCTGTCTTTAAAAAGTGAACGTTAGGACGGGGAGCATCTGGCTGGCTCAGTCGGTAGAGCATGTGACTCTTGATCTCGGGATTGTAAGTTCGAACCCCACATTGGGTGTAGAGACCGCCTAAAAATAAAATCTTTAAAAACAAAAAAAGGGGAAACTTTAGGAAACTTGATCATAGTATGTGCTCAATAAATATCATTGAATGGATGGTTGAAATAATTAAATGCTTCTTTTCCCAAACAGCTTTCCCGTTGAAATTAGGTGGTGTTCCCTTAGTGTTCTTTGAACGTGTGAAATTGCATGGATCGGTTGCCCCGGCTACCTGTGCAGCTTTCCTTACTACTCTCCCAGCTTGAGTCTTCAAGAGGAAGCCTCAGAACTGGCTTCTAAAACCCTTTGTACCTGGTGCGGTTATAAAGCAATGAGACTGATTGTCATGTGTCGCTTGTGGGATCCGTCTCAGTTACTTTATAGCCGTGCCTGGTACCCAACACCGCACACCGTTGCCTGCTGAAGAGCAGTCCAAAAGCACAGACCTAAGGTTTCTTAAATGGAAAATTTGAATGGTTTAGCATTATTTGATGATTTTTCTTTAACTTACTGACCAGAACTCTTCTTTCAGGAAGATAAATTAGATGTTAACTTTGTTGCTTGCTTTACTTTTGCAGTTTTCTTTTTGTGTTTTGGATTTTTTTTAATCGGTATTCTGATAAGCTGCTATTCTGATAAAGTGGCTGGCACGATTTTGAATAAGGTAACATGGAAGGTCTGTGTTCCACTGGGTTAAATTCTTTGTGAAACTTTTAATTATTGAATTTCTTTTCAGTTGCCTGTGGCCTTTTGACTGCCTGGGATAACAAGGGTAGTTCTTTTAGTTAAATATGATAAACACATAAACCAAATGCTTAGTAGTATTCACTGAGGAAGCCTTTGAAAGGGCACGTTGTGGGGTGTTTGTTCGTTTGGCTTTGGTGGCTTACATTGATGTGCAGACCTTATTCAGATTTGGATAAATAGTTCTAATTTTCTCTTTCCTGAAATAGAAATGTTTACTCTCCTTCCTCTGACCCCCAGAGTCTTAGTCTTTGCTTTGAAGTGTGCTGGAATAGTGTGTGCCCGGTAGCTCGTCGCCACCAGCCTCCGCTGAGGAGGACGACCGCGGGCAGCCCGGGTGGCGTAGCACAGCCGCCCTTTTCCCTGGAAAGGAGATGGGGACTGACTTCCCTTGTGGAGGAGGAAAGGAGTAATCTCACTCTCCGCGGGAGAGAGAGTAGCTCGCACTGACGGTAGTACTCCTCCTGGAAATTACGTAAGTGACCAAGCGGATGAGTCGAGGAGCGTCTTAGCCTCCTGGCGGTTCGCTGCCTTCAGTTAGCTTGTCGCTGCGGCAGGACATCTGGACAGCTGCTAGAAGCTGGAAGGGTTTTGATGCCCAGCTAGTCCATGGTGTTGACACTTGGACGTGTCTCAGGGAGGGTTTGATTTCCAGAAGGATTCTGGGGTAAACAAGGAAGGAACCTTCCTCTCCTCGGGTCTAAACACAAGACCAGAGGGAGTCTCCCTGGTTACTAACGAAGGTTGCGGCCACCACGGCGTTCAGCTTTGGCAGCTCTATTAGCAGACGTGTGTCACGTCGGGGATATTATAAAGCTGCAGATCCTGTACTTCTTTCTGTTCCTTGTACTAGTTCTGCACACAACAGGTGCTCCATAGATATTTCTAAGAAAGAGTAGTGCAAAAAGTACCAATTTTTGTACTATAAATACTAGTGCTTTTTGTACTATAAATACTAGCGCTCTTCTCCTTTTCCTGAGGAGCTGGGACTTTCTAAGGAGCGTTTTAATGGAAAAGGTTTTACAGTAAAGACCTGCGGTGATTTTATCACATTATGTTGTTGTATCCTATGTTTCATACTGTCTGTTGTCACATTTGGCTGATTTAATCATCTGTTCTATAAATATAGTTGTAAGACAAGGTAATGTGGCTCTTAGCACTGCAGTCCTCCTACACTTTGTCCGAGTCTTAAGCACTCCACACAGATTCTTGTTCCTACTTGGTGCCAGCATACCCAACTGCAGATGTGTTCCATTTGAAAAGGTGAATCTGCAGACCCTTGCTATTAGCAGGAGTCATAGTCTTTTTTCTAAGTAGCATTTTCATATGTGTGATGTTCCTGTAAGTTTTAAAGGTCACTTGAGCGTCTGTATTTATTTTACATTACAGGCACTGGAGATATTATTGCTGTCATGATTACAGAATTGAGGGGTAAGGATATTTTGAGTTATCTGGAGAAAAACATCTCTGTACAAATGACAATAGCTGTTGGAACGCGAATGCCGCCAAAGAACTTCAGCCGTGGCTCTCTAGTCTTCGTGTCAATATCCTTTATTGTTCTGATGATTATTTCTTCAGCATGGCTCATATTCTACTTCATTCAGAAGATCAGGTACACGAATGCACGCGACAGGAACCAGGTGAGCTCCTGGCACTCTCTAATGATCCATGCTTACCAGCCGTAATTCAGAGATGTCTATTGTGGTCATACACAGTACAAAGTTTTTCACTTAAGAAAAAAGTCATGACCCTCAGTCATGTCCATATGTTGAAAACATATTTACATACGTTATTTTCCGGATTTTTTTTAAATGCCTGAATGGGGAATTTACAGTGATCACTCGGAATATCCTAGGTAAATGGTTAGCTTAGTATCATAATACGATCTGGCTAACTCTAGTAATTTGGAGAACTATCATGGAGTTGCATTTTTGAGCTGGTAGCCCTGGTTGTCAGTGGCAAGGGAAGCTGGGAGCCTTCATGTACTTTCATTCCCTGTGTGTTATCTATTCAGAAAAATAAGTCAATTAAAAATTACGTAACCCTGTTTAAGCTTGGCCGTGGGGTGACGGTGAGGTGGAGAAGGACCCATAGAGGAGAGGTAACGGTGAGGTGGAGAAGGACCCATAGAGGAGAGGTATCTGGTCGTCCTAGAACTTCTATTGGTGAGCACAAACTGAGCTCAGTGGTTTTCAGCTCAGTGACTGCAGACTCAGGAAGGACAAGACAGCGTGCCACCCTGTAGTGGAAGGCCTGCAGGCGGTGACCTTGTCCATTTGTTAGCTTGCTCGATGCCCTCTGGACAAAACGTGCACCCAAGGGTCCCGGTTGGAAGTGTGAGGTCCCAGCCCCAGTCAGAGGCTTCTCTGCTAGGAAACTAGCAAGGGAGCTGCTTGCAGAGTGGTTTGAAGCCAGTCTTTGTGGAATGCTGTCCAGACTCCCTGTGAGAGAGCTGAAATTTTCAGCCTTCCTCATTCCAGTGAAAGCACAGATACTGCTATGGAACAGATCCGAGTTCGAATTCTGACCTTATCACCAGTTTGCCGTGGTCTTTCTTAGTTTATTTTACTTCTCAGTTTGTTTCTTCATCTGAAAATAGGTATAAAATATCTGAAAACTGTAATTTATTGCACATTTACGTGCCCTGCTCTGTGCAGTATCCTGTATACTTTTAAAGTTTTTTATTATGATAATTTTTATTATTTATAATTTCATACTTAGAAAAGCTGTGAGAAGAGTACAAAGTATTCCCTTCCCCAGATTCTTCAACTGTTAACATTTTACCCTAGTTCCTTTTCTATGCATATATACATTTTTTAACCATTTGAGAGTCAGTTTGAGATATGATGCCCCTTTACCCTTTAAATACCTCGATGTGTATTTTTAAAAAGCAAGAACATTTCTTACATAATCACAGTACAATTTTCAAGATCAGGAAGTTAACCTTGGTACAACACCAGATCTACAGATCTAAGATTCTGAGTTCTGTAAAACTGTCTTACTCATAGGGGCGCTGGCTCAGCCAGCAGAGCATGACACTCTTGTTGTCAGGGTTATGAGTTTAGGCCCCACGTTGGGCACGGAGCCTACTTAATTTAAAAAAAAAATGTCTTAATAATGTCCTATATAGCAAAGCAAACCCTGGATTGATCCAGATGGTACGTGGCATTCAGTTGCCATGTCCCTTTTTTTTTATTTTTTTAAGTAAGCTCTGCACCAAGTATGGGGCTTGAACTCACAACCCTTTGAAAGAGAGTCACGCGCTCTACCGACCCGATCCGGCCAGGTGCCCCTGTTATGTCTCTTTCAATCTGTCTCATGGTATTGACATTTTTGAAGAGTCCGAGCCATTTGTTTTGTATTTGAGTTTGTCTGATATGTGATGTTCCTGCATCATCAGATCCAGGTTATGTGCATTTTTTTAGGAACACTGGTCCTTTACATTTGTTAAAGTTTTTATTTTGAGATAACTGTAGATTCACATGCATTTGTAAGAAATAATAGGTCCCAGATAGCCTTCGTGCATTTCCCCCCAGGGGTAAAATCTTACGTAACTATAGTAAATATTTCAACCAGGATCTTGACATGTATACCATCCACTGTCTTACTCCGATTTTTCCAGTTTAACCCATACTCATGTGTGTGTATATGGTTCTCTGCAATGTCAGGTCACCACCGCCATAGTCAAGACACAGAACAGTCCCCCACCAGGATCCCTCATGCTGTTCTTCTTTCATCCCAGCCCCTCCCCCCGCCCAGCCCCTGACCTGTCCCCACCTCTGCAGTTCATCCGTTCAAGAATGCTGTCTGAATGGAATCCTACAGTACTTCACCTTTAGAGTTTGTGTGTCTTCACCTAACATGACTCCCTCGAGAGCCTTCTGAGTTGTTGTGTTGTGGGTAGCTTATTTGTTTTTACTGCCGGGTAGAATTGTGTCGCTTGGGTGTACCACAGTGTGGTGAACCAAATTGTTTGAAGGTTTAGGCTATTTTAAAGTGGCTGTGAACATTTTTTTTTTAAAGATTTTGTTTATTTGACAGAGACACAGCGAGAGAGGGAACGCAAGCAGGGGGAGTGGGAGGGGGAGAAGCAGGCTTCCCGCGGAGCAGGGAGCCCGATGTGGGGCTCGATCCCAGGACCCTGGGATCATGACCTGAGCTGAAGGCAGACACTTATCGACTGAGCCACCCAGGCGCCCTGGCTGTGAACATTTGTTAGAGATGTTTGTGTTAACATGAGTTTGCATTTGCCTTGGGTAAATGTTCAAGAGTGAAATATCTGGGTTATTCTGGTAAACACATACATAATTTTGTAAGAAACTGCCATACCCTTCCCCCAAGTGGCCGCAGTATCACACATTTGCACTAGATACGTATCCCTGACCCAGTTCCTCTGCATCCTGCATGGCATGTGTTGTCACTATTTTGTATTTTAGGTGTGTAGTCACATCTCTTCTGGGGTTTTCATTTGCATTCCTCTAGTGGCTGCTGATGGGGAACACCTTTTCATGTGCTTCTTTTAGCCATCTGTATATCCTCTTCGGTGAAATGTCCGTTCGTGGCTTTTGCCCATTTCCTACCTGGGTTGTTTTGGGGTTTTTTTTACCGTTGAATTTTGAGTGTTGCTACATTCCAGATACAAGCCTTTGTCAGAATTGTGGTTGGCAGATATTTTCTCCCGGTTTGTATCTTGTCTTTTCAACCTCTTAACGGGGCCTTTTGAAGAGCAAACATTTTTAATTTTGATGAGGTTTAATTTATCAATTTTGCTATTGCTGCAAGTCTAAAAACTTTTTTGCCTAGCCCTAGATTCCAAAAACCTTCTCTTTTTTTTTCTAGAAGTTTTATAGTTCTACCTAATTTTACATTGAAGTCAATGATCCATTTTGAGTTAATTTTTGTATAAGTAAGAGATTTGGGTTAAGGTTCTTTTTTTTTTTCTCATTTCATGTCTGATATTGCACCTTTGCCAAAACTCAGTTGGGCATATTTATGTGGATCTGTGTCTGCTTTTCTGTTCTATTCCACTGAACTATGTGTGTATCCCCCTGTCCATCCCATAGTGCCGTGATGACTGTAGCCTCACTCTTGGGTAGAGTGGTTCCTCCCACTTCATTCTTATTTTTCAAGATTATTTTATCTATTCTAGGTCCTAGAGTCTTTCCATATAAATTTTAGAATAAGCTTGTCTGTGTCTCTACCAAAAAAGAACAAAACAAAAACAAAACACCACACAGAACCTTGCTGGGATTTCTGTATGAACACATTAAACCGTAGATCAGTTGGGGGGAGAACTGATATATTTGCTGTGTTGAATCTTCCAGTCCACGAACCTGTAATGTTTTTCCACTTATTCCACTTATCCTTTTTATTCCTTTCGTCAGCATTTTGTAGTTTTTAGCATATAGATTCTGTACATGTTTTAAGTTTATACCTAAGTATATCGTTTTGTTTGGAGTGACTTTAAATGGTAGTATAATGGTAAATGGACTGCAAACGTGTTTTTAACTTCTTCAGGTTCCATATATTCATTGTTAGTAGATCAGAACGTGACCCAGTTGTGTGTGTTGACTTTTTACTCTGCAGTCTTGGTAAACTCACTTCCTGTAGATTGCTTGGGATCTTCTGTACAGACAATAATGTTATCTGCAAATAGGGACTGTTTTACTTCCTTTCCAGGCTCCCTTGCCCTTGTTTTTGCCTTGTTTGTTTTGCCTTACTTGCAGTGACTAGAATCTTCAGTGCACTGTTGAACGACAGTGGTGAGAGCAGGCATCCTTGCCTGCACCCAGTCCTAGAGGAAAGGAAAGGATTCAGTCTTTCATCGTTAAGTGTGTTTTAGCAGGTTTTGAAGACGTTTATTACCAACTTGACGAAGTTCCTCTGTGTTTCTAGTTTGCTGAGAGCTTTAATCACAAATGGGTGTTCCGTTTTGTCACATGTTTTTTTGTGTGTCAGTTGATATGATCATGCGATTTTTTTTGTTTGTTTTCTTTATCCTGTTGATGTGGTGGATTGCATCCTTTGATTTTCTAAAGCGGGTAATAAATCCCACCTCATTGTGGTGTATCATTTTTTGTGCATTGCTGAATTTGGCTGCTTAATTTTGTTGAGGATCTTTGTGTCTAAGTTCATGAGAGAATCCAGTCTGTAGGTTTTTTGGGGGAGGGGTTAAATTATTTCTTTAATGGTTAAAAGACTGTTCAGTTTGTCTATATCATCTTTACTGAATTTTGGCAATTTGTGGTTTTTGAGGAATTGGCCCATTTTTTAGATGTCAAGTCTACAAACAAAGTTGTCTTTTAATGGCTGCAGTGTCTGTGGTGATATTCCCTCTTTGTTTCTGATTTGAAGGATTTATATCTTCTCTTTTTATTTTTGTCAGTCTTGCTAGAAACTTCTCAATATTACTGATACTTTTCAAAGAACCAGCTTTTTTTTATTTCATTTTTAAAGATGGGAACTTAGATTTATTTAATTGAAACCTTTCCTCTTTCTAACGTAAGCATCTAGTGTTATAAATTTCTTAGGACTACTTTAACTGTGTTCTATATACTTTGATATCCTGTATTTTCCATTTTGTTCAGTTTTATGTAATTTTTTTCTTTTAAGACTTCCTCTTTGACCCTTGTATTGTTCA